TCGGGAAGGGAGAGAGGGGGACGGGGCCAGCACGTGGGGCGCTGCCACATGGGGCGCGGGCTCGCTGTACCAGCTCCCGAAGCACCCGGGGGCCGGGAAGGGCTATGCTTAGGGGCCGCTGCTAACCTCGGGTTTTATCTGCCCTCCTGTGCCCCGCAGGCCCGTTTGGTCCCCTCCCTGACTTATCTGCTGTTTATTCCCTGGCTTGGGACGTCTGGGGGACCGGGAGGCCTCCTGCTGGGAGGGGGTGGCCGAGCTGGCCCGGAGCCAGGGAAGGGAAGGCGCAGGAAGAAGCTGCCGGCAGCTACCAGACCCCCTGCCCTCCGGCCTCCCAGGATCGCCTCTCCTGACCTCCCCCCTCCTCAGCCGAGCTGAGTCCTCAGAATCGTGGAGCTCAGATCTCAAAGTCCAAGGACCCACCGGCAGGGGCCCCGCAGGGCGGGCGACGCGAGGCAGCAGACCAACCTCCGTGTAGCGACAGCTAAACGCTCACCCCTGCCCTTGCCTCCGCTTCAAATGCCTGAATTCCGCGAGTAGAGTCGAGTGGGGTGTAGAAGGATCAGTACGTTTCTGTCAGAAATATATGCCACTTATTCCGCTTCTATTATGTCAGTCCACATGCCACGTGTGTTAGTTATGTTCACCCATCTAGAGCTCAGACAACCCTAGAAGGAAAGTCACATGCCCATCGAACAGATGGGGAAACTGAGGCACAGAGCGGTGCCGCGTTTGCCCACAAGGATTGAAGCCAGGGTATTAACACTTCTATTTTCTCTGTCTCTGGGTTTATCTCCAGGTTGTAGTGCTTCTCTCTGTGTCTACCGCTGTCTTAAAAGTCAAACTCCAGGTCTATCTCTATAGAATCCAAACTCTATAGTTTTAAAAATATATATTTTTATTGATTTCAGAGAGGAAGGAAGGGGAAGAGAGATAGAAACATCAATGATGAGAGAGAATCATTGATCATCGGCCTCCTGCACGCCTCCTACTGGGGATCGAACCTGCACCCTGGGCATGTGCCTTGGGAATTGAATCATGACCTCCTGGTTCATAGGTCGATGCTCAACCACTGAGCACACCGGCCAGGCCAAACTCTATACCGTAGTTGTTATTTTTTTAAGTTGTCGAGTACATTACACATAGCGTCTGCAATCGTATCTGTATTTGTAATAGCGATGAAACCATTAATAATAAGCAGCTATAACTTGCTAAGCATTTCTGTGTCTGGCACCGCACTAAGTACTTTGCCTGTCTGTTTTTTAGTTTTATTCATTTCAAACGGGCCGGATCCGGCCCGCGGGCCGTAGTTTGCCCACGGCTGCTCTATACCATAGTTGTTATTTTTTTAAGTTGTGGAGTACATTACACATAGCATCTACAATCGTATCTGTATTTGTAATAGCGATGAAACCATTAATAATAAGCAGCTATAACTTGCTAAGCATTTCTGTGTCTGGCACCGCACTAAGTACTTTGCCTGTCTGTACATATTCCGTCCTAGGAGAGCTCTAGGCAGGAGGCAGCTTAAGCCTCCACTTCACAATGGGGAGACTGAGGCTCTGAAAGGTGAACTCCTCTGCTCAAGAAGTCACAAAGCCAGGAACTGGCAGAGCTGGGATTCGAACTCGGGCAGGGAGGTTCCAAAGCCTTCATGCTTCTAATTCCTGCCGTGTGACCCACCCCAGGGAAGCGGGCCTCTAAGAGGGGAGGCTGTCCCTTCCTAGAGACCAGAGGTCACTTCTGGGGGTGGCACCAACCTCACTCCCCAGCAGGAGACCTGCAGCCCCACCCACAGACACCCAGTGAGGGGGGAGGAGACTGTCCGGTGGGACTGCAGAGGGCAAAGACTTCTCTGGCCGGGCGGGGTGTGGGGGGGGTGGTGGTGGAGGCGTGGAGGGAGCCAGCGATCACCCCCATCCCTTCCCTCCCAGCTGGTGGGGGGAGCAGGGGCCTCCAGCCCTGCTCTGCCCAGAGGACATTCCGTCCTGTCCCGCGCTGGTTCCGTTCCAGCCCTGTTTGTCATCCTGCCCTGAGGGTAGGGGTGGGAGGGCCTCACTGAGCTGGAGGCCTGGGCGGAGGGAACAGGGAGTGGGAACGGAGGAGAGGCCTGCCCCCACCGCCCAGGCAGCTGGGCTCTGTAATCTTCTCTATGGCCGACTTCTCCCTCCACAGAGGGAACCAGCTGGTGCTGCCGCAGACCCTCCTTCCAGCTCCCAACTTGTGCTCTGACAGGAAGTGTGGGCCTCTCGGCGGCTTCACAAACGCCTGGGTCCCCCGCCTTTCCCACTGCAGAGTGGGGGCTAGTGCCTCTGGCTCAGGGTTCCAGCCTTGACAACATTACTAATGAGCTGTGTGGCTTTGGGTAAATGGCACAGCCTCCCCGAGCGTAATAACAACACCTACCTCACAGGGTTCTTTTAGTTATTTATTTTAAAATGTTTTTTTATTGATTTAAGAGAGAGAGGAAGGGAGGGAGGAAGGACGAAAGAGAGAGAAAGAGAGAGAGAGACATGGATGCTGCCTCCTGCATGCCCCCGATTGGGGATCAACCCAGGCATGTGCCCTGACTGGGAGTCAAACCAGCAACCTTTTGGTGCAAGGAATGATGCTCAACCAACTGAGCCACATTGGCCAGGGCCTCCCACGGTTCTTTTAAACATTAAATGAGTTAATATATATCAAGGGCTTAAAAGAGGACCTGGCAACTGGTGAGCACTCTATAAAGGTTATACATAATTTTTATTACCGCCCCTCCCCTCCCCTTTGTCCACATCAGAGATGGAAGGCTTAGGAGCCTCTTGGGCACTGGAGGAACTGGGAGCTTTGGTGTGAATTCCGAGGCGAGGTGTATGCACAATTACCTACAGGACTTTTACACAAGCACTTTGGAAAAGACCAAATACAGTGGGGCCTTGACTTACGAGTTTAATTCGTTCCGTGACGGAGCTCGTAACTCAAATTACTCGTATGTCAAATCAAAAGTGAACGAGTGAGACACGTGATGCTGGGCTGATGTTGTAGCGTTCACTGTGACTGTTCGCTGCGCCAACTAGCAGTGGGGTATCTGAAGCTGGCTCGTAACCCGAATTTTAGCTCGCAACTCAAAGCAAAAAATCGGCCGAGAGACGGCTCGTATCTCGAAAAACTCGTTAGTCGGGACACTCGTAAGTCAAGGCCCCACTGTAATAGCGATAGTAATAGTATTGATAGTGTTGGTGTACTGAACACTCATTAAATCCTTTCAACAGGCAGAGTGACCTTCCTGTCACAGTGGCATCACAGGCCCAGGGGACCCAGCCGCCAATCCCCGATCCTCCAAAGGCCAGCCACGCTCGAGGTGTCTCAGTTAGCCGGACCCTGTAGCTACTAGTATTTTCCCTGAAAAGCAGCAGGGAGGTGATGGAACTCGCCCGAGGCCACACAGCTTTTAGCAACAGCGCCAAGTTAAAAGCCAGGTCTGTCTGTCTCCACCCAGAGCTCCGTCTGAGTTGAACACGGTTTATTGCATACCAATGGGGTGTCCTGGTCCCAAGATCTGTTCCCTCACTGCTCTTCAGCTTGATGAGGGGCGGGGGAGGGGAGGCCTGGCTGCTACTTTTCCAGGATATGAAACTGAGGCTCAGAGAGACAGTTTCTGGGCGGGGGGTGGAGGGAGCCAGCGATCGCCCCCATCCACACAGCCACACAGCCAGGAAGCGGGTGAACTGGGATTTGAACCCCGGCTTTAGGGACCTGTGCTCTTAAATGCCTTGGCAGGGGTGCCCACCCAAGGGATCCCCTGCCCCGCCCCTCCTGTGCCCAGCGGCCTCAGTCCCTTC